ATAAAAAAAATATGTTAAAAAGAGCAGTTTTAAGAAAATTTAAGTTTTGTTTTAGCAAGATTTTGGTACAAGTGATCGTTGGAAAGAGTTAGTAAATCGGGTCTCCCCTATAATATAATTAAAAACTAATCATCAATCTTTTCTTAAATCTTTAAATATTACAAAGAAACTGTATATTCCTAGCAAAAGAATTTCTTAAGCAAAAATTCAATCTAAACTTTAATTCTATCCCTATATTAGACTCACTTTCTGAAAAATTTTTTAAAAAGAACACTATTATTATATACAGTCAGATCCTTCTAAGTACACATTCTATGAAAAGCTCTCTTAAATGCACGTCTTCTCTAATATTATGCTTATAGATTTTTATCTTTCTAAATATATGTTTGGCTAAATTTTTATATATAATAATTTCGAATTTATATTAATTGCCTTAATTTTACAAAATTTAACAGATTATCTGCTAGATTACATTAATTAGGGCTAATATAAAAATGGCTTCTATAAATTCTTTCAAAAAGAAATTTAAATAGCCATAAAAAAGAACACTAACTGAATAATTTGTTTATACATATCTTCACTTGAACCAGATTTTTAGTGTCATGGGCAAAAGGTAAGATTTACAAATTTTAGCATAGTAAACTTGTAACTTGGAAAGAATAAGTAGCTTCAAGATAATATTATAACTTGTTTAATCGGTTCTACTCCAAAATCACGAAAGATAGATTCTTGAAAAGGACACAATACTGACAAAGTTAGCTAATATTAGTTATAATGCTAGCTAATTTAGTTAATATTATGTTCTTTCAGGAAAATGGCCTTCGGGATTTTGGGGTAGAACCAGTTTAATCATGTTAAAGGCTTAGCAGAATATTAATAAAAAACAAGAAATGATTCTATTTGTAGAATAGAATTTTTTAGTGTCAAAGCATGAAGTGTTAAACCCTTAAGGATAAAATAATACTAAGCTATATAACTTCAAAACTTATAAAAAGGCTTTGTAAAATCTCTTTTAAAAGGATATTCTATAGAATTCTAATATTCAATTGCAAATATTTTTAATAAATCTCCTTTCACAAATCTTATTCATAAATCATTTAATTACTTAATTATTACCAAATCACTAGCATCATGCCTCTGGTGAGTTGCCTTACATAATAAACTATATAATTTTTAGTATAAATTATAAATTGTACAATCACCCTGTAATATTATATTTTAATAAATAGCCTTTTAATTAGTCAACTAAATCAACTATTTTCTTCATAATATTATATTTTGACAAGCTATGTTTATCAATTTCAGCAACTTTTGTAAAGCTTAAATAGATTTCTGTTAAAAGAATCTTCTATGAACACAAGACATTGCTTTGAAGAATTTTTTTTTATATATGTTATGTCTAGGGTAATAACTAGTGCTCCGCAAACTCAAATTAAAGTTTGAATCCCAAATCAAATATTTGATCAAATCAAAGATTCGATCAAATCAAATATTTGACCAATTCAAATTGATCAAATAGATCAAATAAGTGATTTATATACATTTCAAGTTTGTTTACCATAAATATGCTCCTTTAAAATAGTAAACCCACCATGAGTTAGAGCTGGGTCTAGGAGGTAATTAATCACAACTTGTAGTGGCATGTATATAATCTGTGAAATTACTGTCCGATTATGCCTTAAATCAAAGCTATTGTAATTTGAAAAGGCTTATTACGAAGTTGAATATTTTATTTTTTTTCGATTTTATAAAATAATTTTTTATCTAAGAAGTGTGCAAATTAAAAGTTTAAATAACCCTATCGATTTCTAATAAGGCTTAAAGAAACCAAATTTTTTAATAGAGTTTATAAAAAAAAGTTTTTAATACGAAAGGTCTTACAAATGCCTTGCAGTAGGTTATGCAAAAACTTATAAATCGGAATTAAGAAATGGCATCACTTCATTTTTAGTTATTAATTCAAACTGTCAAAATTTTAGGCATCATGTTAGATAAACTCTAACAAAAATAAAATCTTTCTTTATGATTTTAGTCACGATCAAAAGTGCTGCGAAAACATGAGTTCATGAATAAATAATATGAAAGAAAGAAGAATTCAGCTCTTTTAAGTTATCTTTATTCAAAAAAAGTAAAATTAAGTAAAAAAAGTATCATTTAAGTAAGAATGATTGAGCTTTTACAGGGAAAATTACAACATTATAATATTTACACAAGTATGGATTATTGACTGCTCTGGCTTTCTGAACATCAGAAGGTAAGGCACACGGATTACGACTAAGTAAAACATCACCTTCTATTATGCCTATACGCATTCCTCTTTCATCATATCCGGCTTCACCATCTAATTGAATGAAAATTTCACCTTCTTCTAAGGTATTTGTCGGACCTGCAACGCAGACAAGAGAACGTGATAATGGCGTTTAAATATGATATTTTGAAGCAATATTTGATAACTGTCCTTTAAGCAATTGGTTTAATTTCTTATGTTGATGCTTTGCTTAAAGTAATTATAATATATTAGAGGATTATTTATGTAGTATTCGTTATTTTATTTTTAAAATTAAAGTTTTTTATTGTTTTTACATAAATATTTGTTTAGTTAATATCAAAGGCAACTTTTGAATTTATCAGATATTTTTTCGTTAATAGTTTCTAACAGAATACGTATAATCGGACGGTGATTGAAATTAGTGGCTTAACCTGTCACAAATTACGGACGTGCTACAATGAGGTCATATATAACTTATATTAAATTCTTTATTAGTAGTCAACACTGACTATATCAGCCGAAATACTCATGGCTTATCCAACTACCAAGCGCAATGGATTTTTGAATCGTTTCTGGGTTAAGTGACCCACGCTTTTTAGTGACTACACCTGAAGCTTTAGAGAATAGTCTTTCTGATGGAGCACTTGTCGCTAGCACTGCAAGATAATCACGCGCTATAATTGCCAGCCTTGGAAAATCCTTAGCATGCGTCTTCCACCACTCAAATACATTTGTTGAAGAAGGAGCCAAAGGACTATTTAAGTACGTTTCAATTTCACGTATACTATTAGCATGTTGAATTTTTCTAAATACACGGTCAAAACAATGATTATTGGAAATACCAAAAAAATCATAGCTATTAAATACGTCATGCAAGGACTCAACTGCCCAAGAAACCCACACAGGCTCCCAATTTTCTGACTCATAATATGCTTTTTTGAGTCGCGGATCTAGTAAGGTCATTATTGCATATATTGGCCCATCACTTCTCGTATAATAACACTTTAACTTTTTTAGGGCTTCTCCAATGGCGTCGTTTACTATATTAGATGGACCATATTTTTGGAGTTCTTCAAGGTTATCCATAACCATGTTATACGCAGGGATAGCGAGAGGCATTGTTACATATGACTCTCCACATAGCTCCTCAGATACGTCTTGGAAAGTTTTTAAAGCCAGTGATACCTCTCTAAGTATACCTAAAATTAATTTAATTTAAAAATAATATTAAAAAAAAAAGCCAATATAATAATAATAATAATACTAATAAAAATAAAATAAATAATAATAATAAATACCCCATTCATTCTTCAAACAACAAAATTCATATAATTCGTCAGTCTCATCAATTATATTTTCAATTGCAGGAGCCATAATAAGAACCTGTTCGATCATTTGAAGTGTTGAATTCCACCTTACTTTCGAATCAAGAATTGGTTCATAATATGGAATATTATTATATAAACATAAATCCTTTAGTATTTTACGACGTTGTGGTGTGGCACGAAGTTTGATAACAAGTCGCCGAAGCTTCTTTATAGTAGAGACTTGGGATGTGGTGTCGTTGGGTACGTAAAGAGTTTCTTCATCCTGATCCGTTACTTCCGAACGTAAATAAGATAGAAAACTTTGGAGTGCAATGTTAATAACATGGGCGAAGCAACGAACATGCCCATGTTTTATGGTAAAAGAACCACCAACTGCTTGACAATGCAACTCAAACACCTTAAGAAACTTGCTGATGTTTGCGGCATTGTCAATAGTTATTCCTAATATTTTATTTACAATACCAAAGTCTTTACACACCATACTAAAAACGTGTGTTATATTCTCTGCAGTATGCGACCCTTCAAAGGGTGCAAGGTCGAGCACCCGTGACTTCAGTTCCCAATTTTCGTCAACCCAATGGGCGGTAACACTCAAAAAGTCCTTACAGTTGTTACTGGTCCACAAGTCAGTAGTGAGGGATACTTTACTTGTGTTACGTTCCAATGTTCTTTTTAGTCGGGTTTTCTGAATTGTATACTGGTGCACCAAATCACGTTTTATTGTGTCAGCAGAAGGGAGCAATATATTCACCTTATCAGCCACCTTACGAAAACCCTCAGACTCAACAACAGTAAACGGAAGACCATCACCTGCAATCCACTCAACTAACGTTTCTCTAAGGCTAGGTTCAGCAATATTATTTGGTTGAGATGATTCATCTTCCGAGTCATCATGAAGCTGATAACTGGGAAGTTCAATTTGATGAATTCGAGAAAGATGAGCACGCAAGCTGGAAGTAGCACCATTGTTTACAACAAGGTATGCTGGGCAATATTGACATTTTGCTTTCATTTTATTCTCCACCAATATAGGCCTATCAAAATGTTACCAAACTGGACTTTGAGTTCTTACAGTATAGACACGCATATTGGAAGTCATAATTATATTTAAAGTATGTAAAGTTAAAAAGATTTGGAATTTGAGGCTGTATCTTAAAGAGAAAATAGTTGGAAGAATTAATCTTAAAGATAAGTGCATTGTGGTACTATTTTATACATTTCTCTTTATATTTTTTATTTTATCGATCAAAAATAAATTAAATTCGTAATATTATATGAAATTTGCTTTTATCAATCATTGATATCTTGTAGTCTAGCGATCAAATTTCGATGAACTTAAGTAGTATCATCCGAATCATCTCAATGTAATGATTCGAATGATACTAAGTTCATCGAAATTTGATCGCTAGACTACAAGACATCAATGATTGATAAAAGCAAATTTCGTATAATATTACGAATTTGTTTGATATTTACACAAATTTGGTTGACAAACCATTATTTTTTTAAACCTAATTTAAGTAGTTATTTAATATATTTAGCGCGATATGATCGTTTATTTATTAACACGATTACTTAGTTTTACAATTCTTTATTTTTTACTAGTGATACTTTTTCTCTTTCTCTATTTTTTATTTATGGGATCTGATAATATTAAAACTCGTGTAAATATCATAATATTATACGAAATTTGTTTTTATTCAATCATTGATATCTTGTAGTCTAGCGATCAGATTTCGATGAACTTAGTAGCATTCGAATCATTACATTGAAATGATTCGGATGATACTACCAAGTTGATCAAATCTGATCATTAGGCTACAAGATATCAATGATTGATAAAAACGAATCTCGTATAATATTACGCATTTTGGGGGTTTTTAATACCCAATTTGACCATTTACGTTTTAGCCCAATCACATATCTGATATGATTGTTCATTTATTACTATTAGTTAAATAAATAATTTGAGTTGCGAATAATGCCATGGATAATAGGTCATCAAAGGAATATATCTAATAAAAATTCTTTTATATTGCCATCTTATAATTTATATTATACACTTCTTAATTGTTGTATCCTAGGAAGTTTTTAAATTGATTACTACAAATTAAAATCACGTGATGCATATAATACAACCAGGCTTTAGTGTTAGACGATCCCCATTTTTGTCTAATACACTCGCATATACGTTCAAAATATACACAAATTTATAATCATTGCGCACACATGAAATCTACAAAGATTTTATATCGACGCCCTGTAACTCATAATATATATATGGCTGAAAATATAATATACGTTCACTAAATTCTCTAAATAAATTCACACTCTTTATTCTGTTGGTGGCAAAACCGACGAAACTCGCTGCGCTGAATTCGACGTCACGGGACCCGAAAACGTGACGAAAACCCCGAATCGGAGCCCACGAAATCGTTAAAGAAATCGTGA